TTTTTTTATATTTTATTGTTATTTATTTATTTTTATTCAATATTTTTATTTTGCTTTTAGAGGCTTTGGGGGAAATATTAGGGATCTAAACAGACCCCTGATATTTCCCTTTTAAAATGGATCATTGTCGGCTTTGTATTCTTTGCATTCCTTATTTCGCTTTTCTTCCCCCAGTCTTCTCACAGGGGCCATGTTTACTAAGCGCAGATCACTCGCTCTCCTTTTACTTCCTGGATTTCTGGCACATGTGACTAGGACATGTGACCACGCACATCATCTCAGGGGAGGAACATGCCTTTCCCCTGAGATCTCGTGAGATTACAGATGAGATTTCCCAGCAATGCTCTGCTGATGACGAGGCGATCCCGGCGTGCATCGCTTTGCCAACCTGAAGTCATTTTGCCCTTTCAGGAAGCAGGAAGTGAACGCTCTGCGAGTGTCAGTATTTCACAATCACCTGACATGTCTGTTATTATTCATCATCATACATAGGGGGGGGCATTGGTAGAATTCGATTTTTGAGTGTAGAGGTCGCTCTAACCTCTTCATGACTGACGACTCAGCTGTCGTTAGTTAAAAAAAAAACAGTTTTTATAATTAACATTAAATAAAATAAATCTAAAAATCATTTAAAAATCATTTTTTTTGAAGCACAAGCGTCACCACGTAAACACTCTTCGGGGGCGCCTACTTATGAAAACGACGAACGCGCTACACATGTTGGGCATCGCCGCGCAAGCCGGATTCAGAGCAATAATTCTAGGGCCAGTATTTTTGGGTATCTCTAAAGTGATGACCTGTGGGGGACGTTTAAAGCGTCATCTATAGACTTTTTGGGGTACTGACGTCTGTCGCCGTTTCACGAACGCGCACAATTTTTAACCCGGGCATGTTAGGTATCTATTTACTCGTTGTAACCTCGTCTTTTATATTTCATTGCAATAACGCGTATTTTATTGTGTTTTGGGGCAAAGCCCAAAACTTTGGGGTTTGATAAGAAGTTGTGCTAATATTGTGCAACATAATAATTTGCAACTGCCAACATTTTATTCTATAGGGTCTCTGCTTTCAGAAAATATATCATGTTTGGGGGGTTTTAAGTAATTGTCAGGCCTAAAACGTGGACTATAACAGTCATGAAGGGGTTAAGTAAATTATTGTGCTTCCTGTTATTCCATTTTGGTCTTTCCTACCTGTCACATTGGACATCTCTCCCTCAGAACACGGGACACAGTCATAGCAGCAGACATGGATCTGTTCTGTAGGAGCTTTTCTGTGCCCGGGAGGACATCTGTCACTGCAGCGAGATTCCGGCTTCTGATACACACAAAGAAGTAAAAAGTAACGCCACTTAGGGAATGTATTGTTTTCACTCGTAGTGACAAGGTTCTGACTGTATACTAGAGGCGCATCAAAATGGAAATTTTAAAAACCGAAACGAAACCGTAATAAAAAAAATTGTCAGGCCGAAACCGAATGTTTTTTATTTTAATTTTTTCAATTTTTTGCAAATATTTTATTTATATTTATTTTTTATAAACTTTTACATTATTTTATATTTATTTTTATTTATGAATTCATTTTTCTATTAAATATTTTTATTTTTTACATTACTTTTAGGGGCTTCGGGGGAAATATTGGGGGGTCTAAACAGACTAAAATAGAAAAAGAGATTGAGGACACAGAGTCCTCAGAGACACGCAGAACCCTCAATCTCTTTTTCTGTGTCCCCAGTTATCAATGAACAGGAAGCCTCTATACTGAGTGTTCCTGTTCATTCATAACATGAGGACATGGTATGTTTACTATAACTACAACTATGAATGAACAGGAAGTGATGTAGATGTGATGTAGATCACTTCCCATTCATTCATAATTGAGGATATAGTCCACATACCATG